TCCATGGAACTCTCTGTACAGTTAAAACGGTCCTTGGCTGCTAAAAGTGTAAGAACCCCTGATTTACAGAACTACACATTTTTAATTATTAATATTAATTAAAAATTTTATGTAAAATCCTATTTAGGTTATAATCTCATAATCTCAAATATAAAGCACAGATCAGAGGAGCCCTGAAATAGATTTTTTTCTGTTTCACAGCACTTTCCTGAAAAGTTACAACACATATCAAAAGATTAGAGAGAGGTAGAGGGAGAGAGGATGGTGTGTGTGTGTGTGTGTGTGTGTGTGTGTGTGTGTGTGTGTGCTTGCATGCCAGCACGCAAAACAAAGTGAGAAAGCAGAAAATGAGCTGGCTGGGCAGAGTTTCAGAGGAAAGTCATGTCTTCAGAGGAAGAGAGAGGGAGAGCAGAATGTGGTGTTGAGAATGGTACTGTTTGCTTAGTCCCCATCAAAGCCAGGTCTAATTATTTTACCATGCACAGGTTCAGCTAGTGCTGAGTGCTGGGGCTTCTGCTTTTACAACTTTAACCCCACACTGGTCTCATGGCTCTTTGCCAGCGATTGCTCAGAAGTGTCCTACATACAATCGGTAGTATTGGTGGTTCTATTATTTCCAATATAGAGAAGCCTGGTAAGTTGAAGGATCTATCAAAAGACATTTGAATTTTTTGTTGTTTTCAGCAAATCAGTATGTGACAAAAAGGACAACACACATACAAACACAAAAACATTCATTCATTCATTCATTCATTCATTCTTCAGTAATCACTTCTGAATCAGGCCTGTGGTGGATGCTGAGATTAGGAATACATGCTGGATGAGATCACAGCCTACAAAAATGATCTTGAAAAACCTCTTCTCTGAGTGGGTTATCTTGGACCCAGTCCATTTGTTTGTGATTATGGTGTGAATTTGTACATGTGTGTAATATGCATCCTTGTTGGTACTAGCTTGAACCAAGAAGCAACCAAGTAGTCAAATATATTATGGCTGTTTTGTAGGACACATGCAACATGGACCTACACCCACATTTTGACACTCTGACACCTTGATCAGCAAACCTCCCTGCACCTCCCAATATCCTACGGTGGGTCAGTCGTGCTGCAGCTGTAAAAGTCACTGTAAAAAAAAATCAGCCATTGCATCATGGAAACAGGAGTGTGCTCATGCGTAGGTTACCTGGGGAACCAATTACCCCTCCAATATGTACGTGTGTGTGTGTGTGTGTGTGTGAGAGAGAGAGAGAGAGAGAGAGGGGTTAAATGGGATCCTGACTTTTGCTGTGACCCTTGTCTAAGAGGAAGACCACCACAAGACAATTGTAAGACCACCAAGTGTACACAGCCCAAATTACTCCACCCAGTATCTCCATTCTATTTCTCCTATCCATGACTTTATACAGGTCTTATACATGACATATTAAAGGAAAACTGGCACCTCTATGCTGCAAAAGGCATTGTGCAGATATGGTTAGGATCCACCTGTTCTCTTAGCAGGAAGGGTCACTGCAAATCAATACAAAGTTTTCTGACTGATCACCTTTATCCTACCATGAAACCGTTCTGTCCTGATGGGATTGGTCTCTTCCAGGATAACCCCATCCCTATCCACAGGGCATGAGGGCTCAGTGAATGGTTTGCTGAGTATGAAAATGATATAAATCATATGCTATGCTATCAACCCAACGGAACACCTATGGGAGATTTTGGAGTGATGTGTTAGATAGCACGCTCCACCACCATCATCAAAGCATGAATTAAAGGAGTATCTTTTTTTTTTTAAATGGTGTTCACTGCTCCAGCACAGTTACAGAGACTTGTAGGAACTATACCAAGCTGTTCTGGTGGCTTGTGGTAGCCCAACACCTTACTAACATACTATAATTTTTCCTGTAAAATATTCATTTCACTCTAGTACACAAACTGAAACCAGCTGATTTCAAATTTCTGGAAAACTTTGTGTGCTGTGCTTAAAATTTACTACATCTGCCTGATTACTACAGCTACCTTATTATGAAGTATACTGTAGTTACTCCATGTAAAAGTTTCTGAAAGGTTTTTTTTCACTAAATTGTGTACTAAATCATTATAGCGCAAATTATTATGATTCCATTGATGAGTATGCTAAATACATTTGACTGTCTGGTTCAGAGAGATGTCTGGAATGCTTTTAGGGATGTACTGTTGGACATATTAGAATGTGAGACTCACAAGATCAGTGCATTCCAGAAGCATTTCTGTCCCTCTTCAGATGTCCGTCATCCCCATTATCTGTATACACACACACACACACACACACACACACACACACACACACACACACACACACACACACACACACATGCACACACAGTGTCATTCAGCAAGAACAGTTTGGGACTGTCGATGTGTTAATCACAAAAGAATGTGAACACAGATAGTACTCAGTGTACCATTGTAGTTTTAACATAGCTGACATGATAGGAAGTTGTGGATTCATGTTCAGATATTTTATTGAAGCATAATGTAAATGGTCTCTAAAATATAACGTATAACAAAACAATAAATGGAAAATAGACAGTGATCAATATACAAATACAAGAACACATGGTTAAGGGAAATCTAAAATTAAGAGTCAAGAGAACAATCCTAAAGAGATTACATGAGATGAGCTGTAGGTGTCTGTGATTAGTGGGAGAGCTGGCTAGAATTTGGCTGAGGGAGACCTCTGGAGGGTGGGAGGTATATTGCAGTGATTTTCTCCCCTACTGATCACATACTGTAAACCTCGAATAGGTAAAATCAGTCAAACATTAAAATTTCCCGGCAAGCTCTGTGTTCTCAATTCAGTTCTTCAGTTCTTAATCACATGGACAAAAACATAAAAGCAGATGTCCTCTCAAGGATTCATGAAGGAAACCGTGAACTTTACCCAAAAAAACAGTTCTTCCACCAACCTGCGTAATATCACCCATCGCCAGAGCTAAGAGTGACAGCAAAAAAAAAAAAAAAAAATCATACAGTCAAAAGAATTGCCCATAGACCTCCAAGACAGAATTGTCTTGAGGCAGAGATCTGAGGAAGTGCACAGAAAAGTTTTTGCAGTTTTGAAGGTCCTGAAGAACACAGCAGCTCCCATCATTTTTACATTTAAAAAAGCTTTCAACCCCCAAGACTATTCCTAGAGCTGGCCACTTAGCCAAACTAAACAAACAGGAAAGATGGGCTTTAGTCAGGGAGGTGAACAAGAACATGTTGGTCACTTTGATGGAGCATGCCAGAAAGATATCAATCATTGCACCAGTCCACCAATCAGGTTGGTTGGTATTGGAAGATTTTGATAGATATGGTTGATATGGTAGATTTTGGCATAATGGAAGCCTTCAGTGAAAGGCAAAAGACAGCTCCCTTAGACCACTCATTGCCTGGCTAATTCCTTTCTTACACTGAAGCATGGTGTTGGGAGCACCACCTGTGGGGACTGTATGCTGTAGGGACTTTTTAACAGCAGAGACTTGGAGGCATGTCAGGATCTTGAGAAAAACTGCTTAGGATCTTATTGTGGGGACCTAGGTCTTCACGTTGGTCTGAATGTGTGTGCAATTGACTAGGGTGTATTCCTACCCCATGTCACTGGCTGAACTTACTGAGGATGAATAAATGATCTGTGGTTTTGGTTTGGTATTATTGAAGCAAAATTAAGTTTGGGTTGACCACAGTAACAGAGTGAAATAAAAACAGTTCTTGGTAGTGCACTCAGACTGTTGGACCCCACTGTAGCTGTTGCTGAGATTTGTAGAAATTAGCGAGAAAGTAGAGATTCCTGGAGCCATTGGAAGCTCTGCAAAATATTCCAAACATGTTCATCAGTACAGTGGCGATAGCAGCAGGCCAGGTTTCTGTGGCATGCTGTGTGGGTGCTGAAAGCATCTCATATGCCAGTGCTCTCTCACATGTTCATCTGTGTTTTTGACAAGGGGTGTATGTGTGTGCATATGTGCCTTTTAGGGGAGGGGGCTGATGCATTTGATATGGGGCTCAGTGGACGCTTGAAAGGATCTGTCAGTTTTCTGTGTGTGTATGCATGTTGTGTATAAAGTTTTTTTTTTTTTTTTTTTGCATCAAAGAAATACTATCTGGAAAGCTGAACATCCATACCCTACTACTGACAAACCACTGGTGGGAGGGAACAGTAATTAGATACTAGATATTAATTCTGTTTTGATATCAGAACAACATGTTTTTAGCTGACATTTATTTCAATAATTATATACTTGCAATGTACTTGTATGACTGCATACCATGATACCTAAATCTGAAAAGATTATGTTGTTGGAAAAAACACACTGCCTTCCTGGATCAGATCTGTTATGTTCTAGCTCAGTATAATTTAGCCAATGCCCAATAATTAAGGAACAATACTGATCCAGAACCCATATGCTTATATTTCGCATCACCAGCCCTGTTTCCGGAGATCCACATTCTACACTCTTACAATAAAATGTTAAATTAAAAGTCCTTGAATTGTCCCTTTAGGGGAACCTTTGTTACGTATTTTCTTAAAACTGAGTGTTTGAGGAATGGTTCCAGGGAGGACCCTTTTAGGAAGCTAAGAATGCAAAAGAACTATCCAAAAGAACTCTTGAAAAACTATTGTATGCAGTCACTTTTGCCAAACAACATGTAGCACCATTCTGAGAAATGGCTTTGCGGTCAAGGCTCTGGTCTACCGTTTGAAAATCCTAATATCGCTGTCACTGTTGGGTTCTTGTGACATTTAAGTCTCCTTTCTCTTTGGATAAAAGCATCAGACAAATTAAATAATGCAATTATGTTTTGTAGTAGGTGGTGGCTCACTAGCTCGACTCATGCTGTAAATAAGGATGCATCTCCCTAATGCAGATTTACATACAGAGCAGTGGGCAGCCTTTTTTTTTTGCTATGGCACCTGGGGGTTCAGTGCCTTACTTGAGGGTCACATAGAGCGCTGATCATTCACTCACCCCCACCCACAATCCCTGCTGGACCCGAGACTCAAACCCACAACCTTTAGATTACAAGTCTGACTCTCTAACCATTAGGCCACAACTGCCCTGCATGACTGATCATCCACTGAATGACCAGTCCAACAATGGACATTGTCACAAAGCAGCTCTACAGAAATAATGACATTCAGCATAAATTATAGATGTATGAATTTATTCCAAATGAGCAAGCCAGGTCAGCGCTGGTCATTCACTCCTCCCACCTACAATCCCTGTCGGACCTGAGACCCGGACCCACGACCTTTGGGTTACAAGTCCGACTCGCTAAACATTAGGCTACGACTGCCCTGCACATTTGAAAGGGTCAAGATCACTGGTATCTCAGGAGTAGCATGTGTAGCTCAACAGAGAGAGAGAGAGGGAGAGAGAGGTTGTTAGGTATGCTTTTGTCCCGTAATGGTTAAGGACAATGTACTTTCCGTGCAGCGTGCAAGCAGGGACTCTGGCAAGACTAGCTATGACAGCATAACTAAAAGGGAGAGCCAGAAGGTAACACAGACATAAGGGTGCCTTGGGACATAAAGCAGCCAGCCACTCCACCGTCAACAAACCTAAATGGTTTGAAATGGTTGTCCGTGTCATTTTTCTGAACAGCAAAACATAACATGATCAAGCATCTGTGAGATGTGCTGGACAAACAAGTTTGATCCATGGAGGCCCCACCTCGCAACTTACAGGACTTAAAGGACCTGCTGCTAATGTCTTGGTGCCAGATACCACAGCACACCTTCAGAGGTCTTGTGGAGTCCACGCCATGCCAGGTCGGAGGTTTTTTGGAGGTGTAAGGTGGACCTATTTATATGTACAAAAGTATTGGGACACAGGACCATTACACTAACAGGGACTTTAATGATATCACATTCTAAATACATAGACATTAATATGGAGTTGGTTCCCCCTTTGCAGCTATAACAGCTTCCACTCTTCTGGGCAGGCTTTCCACAAGATTCTGGAGTGTTTCTGTGGGAAGTTTTGCCCATTCATCCAGTAGAGCATTTGTGAGGTCAGGCACTGATGTTGGATGAGAAGGCCTGGCTCACAATCTCCATTCCAGTTCATTCCAAAGGTGTTCCGTGGGGTTGAGGTCAGGGCGCTGTGCAGGCCAGTCAAGTTCTTCCACACCAAACTCATCCAACCATGTCTTTATGGACCTTGCTTTGTGTACTGGGGCACAGTCATGCTGGAATAGAAAAGGGCGTTCACCAAACTGTTCCCACAAAGTTGGAAGCATAGCATTGTCCAAAATGCCTTGGTATTCTGAAGCATTAACATTTCCCTTCACTGGAAGTAAGGGACCCAGCCCTAAACCCTGAAAAACAGCCCCATACCATTATCCCTCCTCCACCAAACTTTACAGTTGACACCATGCAGTCAGGCAGGTAACGGCATCCACCAAACCCAGACTTGCCCATCAGACTGCCAAACAGAGAAGTGTTATTCATCACTCCACAGAACACGTTTCTGCTGCTACAGAGTCCAGTGGCGGAGTACTTTACACCGCTCCATCCGAAGCTTGGCATTGTACTTGGTGATGTGAGGCTTGCATGCAGCTGCTCGGCCATGGAAACCCATTCCATTAAGATCTGGCCACACAGTTTTTGTGCTGATATTATTGGAAGTTTGGAACTCTTCAGCTATGGAATCAGCAGAACGTTGGTGACTTTTACGCACCCTGCGCCTCAGCACTCGGTGACCCCAATGTGTGACTTTGCATGATCTTCCGCTTCGTTGGCTGAGTTGCTGCTGTTCCTACATGTTTCCATGTTCCAATAACACCACTTACAGTTGACCGTGGAATATCTAGCAAGGATGAAATTTCACAAACTGATTTATTGCAAAGGTGGCATCCTATCACACTACCACGCTTGAATTCACTGAGCTCTTCATAGCGACCCATTTTTTTCCACAAATGTTTATAAATGCAGACTGCATGGCTAGGTGCTTGATTTTATACACCTGTGGCAATGGGTCTGATTGAAACACCTGAATTCAATAATTAAGATTAATAATTAATTAAAATGTATTTTTGAAGCTATTCTGCCATCTAGTGGTTTAATCCACAGGTTTATGCACATCACCTCAATCTAAAAAAATATTATGCACATATAATAAATTCTTGTCTGATCAATGTCTGAGGCAGCCCATTCAATAAATAATGAATTTTCTGGTAAAATCAGTATATATATCTTTGACTAAATCATAAAATGTATACACATATTGTATACTATAATTATTTTTTAATTGGTATTAGTGTGGTTTGTATTAAGGTAGGTTACACGAACGAGGTAACAGAACAAGTTCGAGAAATTGAACAAGGCAGGCAAATGCAAAAAGTAATAAAAAGTACTGTGTTAAAAGGATGTTCAGTATGAGCAGACTGTGAATAAGTGTCCTGTGATGAGCACAGAACAGTCTTTATTTTTTACAGTAGCAGCTCTTAGAAGACACAAATAATCTATGGAATTCTACCAAAATATACACAAATTCCTTTGATCTATAACTTTTGCTTTTGAAAATTTAGGTGTACATTTTATACTCAACATTATACTCAACATCTACCAATTAGGTTCTCCATCAAATGTAAGCTCCTACATTTACCTGAAGTTACAATGGATATAAAAAGTCTACACAGGTAGGTTTTTGGGAAAACCAAGATAAAATGAAAAATCAAACCAAGATAAATCATGTCAGAACATTTTCCACCCTCTATATGAAATTACAGCATTATTATTATAAAATTAAGTGAAAAACAATCAAAAAACTTTAGGGAAAAAAAGAAAAGTAAAAGACTTAGAATCTAGTAAATGTGCACACATAAGTGTGCACACCCCTAAACTAATACTTTCTTGAAACACCTTTTGATTTTTTACACCACTCAGTCTTTTTGGGTAAGAGTCTATAAGCATGGCACATCTTGACTTGGCAATATTTTCCCACTCTTTCTTGCAAAAACATTCTACATCCATCAAATTGAAAGGGCAACTCCTGCGCACAGCCCACTTCAGATTACCCCACAGATTTTTAGTTGGATTCAGGTCTGGGTTCTGGCTAGCCCATTCAAAAAATCATCAATCTTCTTTTGGTTAATCCATTCCTTTGTTGATTTGGATGTATGCTTTGGGTCATTGTTGTGCTGAAAGGTGAAATTCATCTTCAGCTTACTAGCAGACACCTGAAGGTTTTGCACTAAAATTGACTGGTACTTGTAGCTATTCATGATTTCCTCCATTCTTGATAAAAGCTCCAGTTCTGGCTGAAGAAAAGCAGTTCTAAAGCATGATGCTGCACTGTGGGTATAGTGTTCTTTTGCTTTTTTCCCCCCAAACATACCTTTTGGAATTCTGGAATTATTATACCATTTGGAATTGGTCTCATCAGACCATAACATATTTTGCCATATGGTTTGGGGTGATTTAGTTGAGCTTGGATGTTTTGTGTGAGAAATGGCTTCCATCTAGCCACCCTACCCCATAGCCCAGACGTGAAGCATAAGAGAGATTGTTGTCACATGCAGAGAGTAATCACTTGTCAGATTTCCTGCAGCACCTTTAATGTTGCTGTAGGTCTCTTGGCAGTTTCCCTGGTAAGTTTTTGTCTTGTCCTTTTATAAATTTTGGAGGGATGTCCTGTTCTTGGTGTTCTTGGTCATGTGATGCTCCATTTTCTCTATTTGTTGATGATTGCCTTTAAGGTGTTCCATAGTACATGTGTTTTGAAAATTCTTTTATTCCCATCTCCTGATTGATACAGTTCAACAAGTGAGATACGTGCATGCTTTTTAAGATCTTTGCAGACCATGACTTGAGCAGTCGGACAAAACCAAGAAGATGTGAAGAAAATCCTACAGAAACAGCTGATATTTGTTTGGGATTAATCAGAATAATTTCATTGATGACTGCTGTATGTTACTTACTTTTGAACATGAGATTGAATGTGTTTGGTTCATTCTGAACACAGCCACATCCTCAATTACAGGGTGTGCACACTTATGCAACCAGGTTATTATTATTTTTCCTATTTTTCCCTAAAATGTTTCTGAATGTTTTTCACTTAATTTTTATACATTGTAATTTCACATTGAGGGTGAGTTCTGACATGATTTATCTTGGTTTCATTTTTTTACATCACAAAAACCTGACATTTTAACAGGGGTGTGTAGACTTTTTAATATCTATTGTAAGTAGTATATGACAACCAACCATTTTAAACAAATGGCAACCAATAATACTGCGGCAGCCAGGGCATGCCAAGAAGCGTGAGTTTGAACCTGACTAAAGTGGTTTTCTGTTGAGTTTTGAAAGGGTGCTGAAAAGCACACACTGAATATACACGAGCCCGTAGGTCCGCTAAAATTCTGACTGTCTCCCGGGTTTTCGTCTACACCTTCCCACACCAGGGTTTTATAAATACATTTATAATTGTATTTTTAAATACAATAATACAATGTATTTCAGGCTTTACAGTACCAGTCTACACATGTACAGTTTTACTCACATTTCACTTCAAGAATCTTTTAAAACAAGATTTTTTTTTGTATTTGCTTGAAATGTTAAAATATAAAATATCCATTTCTGAATCTCCATTTCTCACAGCATTTGTCTTATTGTAACATTGTGTATTTCATTCAAAGGATAACCCAAGGACACTCCTAACACACATTTACATTTTACATTTACAGCATTTTGCAGAGGCTCTTGTCCAGAGCGACTTACAAACTTAGTACAGCAACAAAAGCATTTTTTTCACTGACTCAAGTACCAAGATCTTCCAAATGTAATTAAAATCCCTACTGCTTTCAGTAAATAAGAGAAATATTTTATATAGTTAAAAAGGTAACACTGTATGATAAGGTTTCCTTAATTGATATTATTTAACATATTAGTTAACATGAACATCCATAACATCAGTAAAATTAAAAGGTAACTAAGACTTAAAAGTAAAAGTAATTAAAAGTAATTAACACTATTAATTGATTTCAGAACTGAGGCTGAAAAGCAGGTTTTAATATTTGCACTTGGAGACCAGAGTTCGGTAAGTTATCAATATT